TTCTTCTGCCTCAGCCTCCCGAGTAGTTGGGATTACAGGCATCTGCCACTGTGCCTAGCTAATTTTTGTATTTTTATTAGATATGGGGTTTCGGCCGGGCGCGGTGGCTCAAGCCTGTAATCCCAGCACTTTGGGAGGCCGAGGTGGGTGGATCACGAGGTCAAGAGATCGAGACCATCCTGGTCAACATGGTGAAACCCCGTCTCTACTAAAAATACAAAAAATTAGCTGGGCATGGTGGCGCGTGCCTGTAATCCCAGCTACTCAGGAGGCTGAGGCAGGAGAATTGCCTGAACCCAGGAGGCGGAGGTTGCGGTGAGCCGAGATCGCGCCATTGCACTCCAGCCTGGGTAACAAGAGCGAAACTCCGTCTCAAAAAAAAAAAAAAAAAAAAAAAAGATATGGGGTTTCACCATGTTGGCCAGGTTGGTCTCGAACTCCTGATCTTGTGATCCGCTCACTTGGGCCTCCCAAAGTGTTGAGATTACAGGCGTGAGCCACTGCACCTGGTCGGAAGTGTTCTTTTATGGGAGCCACTTTTTTTGTAAGTTGCCTAATCCAATACACCTTTTTCTTTTTTTTCCTCAAAAGGAAATTAGCTTTCTAGTTTGGTTTTGATCATAAAGATAAATTTTATTCATTAGAGCACAAGAACTCAAGATAGGACTGAGAAAGGAGAGATTCAAATTGTGACTTAAGATTCAAAGGAAATGAAAGGAGTTAAATGAGAATGTTTTGTATTCTTTTATTGTTCTATGATTAAAAAAATAGAAAATCTGGATAAAATGTATAGAAAAATACAAGTGGTCAGAATGGACTCAAGAAGTAGGAAGTAGGTTGGGTATGTGGCTCATGCCTGTAATCCCAACACTTACAAAGCCTGTAATCTTTGGGAGGCTGAGGCGGACAGATCATTTGAGGTCAGGAGTTCAAGACCAGCCTGACCAACATGGAGAAATCCTGTCTCTACTAAAAATACAAAATTAGCCAGGCCTGGTGGCGCATGCCTGTAATCCCAGCTATGTGGGAGGCTGAGGCAGGAGAAACGCTTGAACCCGGGAGGCGGAGGTTGCAATGAGCTGAGATTGTGCCATCATACTATAGACTGGGCAACAAAAACGAAGCTGTCTTTAAAAAAAAATTAGGTAATATAGCTGGGCATGGTGGTGTGCACCTGTAATCCCAGCTGCTCCGGAGGCCGAGGCAAGAGAATTGCTTGGACCTGAGAGGCAGAGGTTGCGGAGAGCTGAGATTGCACCATTGCACTATGGCCTGGGTGACAAGAGCAAGACTTCTTCTCAAAAAACAAACAAAAAAAGAAATAGGAAATATACATAGATCAAAGAAAGTATAAACAAGGCCAGGTGCAGTGGCTCACTCCTGTAACACCAGCACTTTGGGAGGCTGAAGTGAACAGATCACTTGAGGTTAGGAGTTTCAGACCAGTCTGGTCAACATGGTGAAACCCTGACTCTATTAAAAATAAAAAAATTCCTGAGATGTTTAATTAGAAAAATTAAAAAGAAAAAAAAATAGCTGGGCGTGGTCGTGGGCACCTGTAGTCCCAGCTTCAGGAGGCTAAGGCTCCAGAATTGCTTGAACCCAGAAGACTGAGGATGCAGTGAGCTGAGATAGTGTCACTGCACTTCAGCCTGGGTGACAGAGTGAATTGTCTCAAAAAACAAAGTATAAACAGACCTTGTCCAGCCTTCCAAAAGTAGGACCAAGTATTAATATCTCAGCTTGTGTTTACTTCGTTTTTAATTTTTTACAGAGATGAGGTCTCTTGATTTTCAGTAGCCTTGAAAAATAAAAATAAAAAATAAAAATAAAAAAGAGACAAGGGCTCGCTATGTTTCCCAGGCTGGTCTCAAACTCCTGAGCTCAAGGAATCCTCCTGGCTCAGCCTTCCAAGTAGCTGGGACTACAGGCATACACCACCATGCCTGACATTTGTTTGCTTCCTTTGTAACTCTTAAATTTCATTGCAATGACAGTTTGCAGTTATTTTATTTATCAGTTTACTGGCTAAATTTTTGTGTTTCCCTGGTAGACTGAAGAGTTCTTGAGGGCAGGAACTGTGTCTCGTTTCGTCTTGACTGTTTCCTTAAATAGTCACTGAGTAAATATTTGTTGAATCATGCATCAGCAGGTGACTGAATTTAACTGTGAAAGTAGCTGTCTTGGGCCGGGCGCGGTGGCTCAAGCCTGTAATCCCAGCACTTTGGGAGGCCGAGGCGGGTGGATCACAAGGTCTAGAGATCGAGACCATCCTGGTCAACATGGTGAAACCCCGTCTCTACTAAAAATACCAAAAATTATCTGGGCATGGTGGCACGTGCCTGTAATTCCAGCTACTCAGGAGGCTGAGGCAGGAGAATTGCCTGAACCCAGGAGGCGGAGGTTGCGGTGAGCCGAGATTGCGCCATTGCACTCCAGCCTGGGTAACAAGAGCGAAACTCCATCTCAAAAAAAAAAAAAAAAAAAAGGAAAGAAAGTAGCTGTCTTTTTGTAGTTCTGAGGGGTGGCCCTTGTAGGTGAGTCTTCAGTAAGCAGTGTTGAGGGAGGGTCTTCTCAGTTCTAGAAACCACAGGATGCTGCACAACGGAGGAGTAGGAACCAGTGGAAAGCACACCTGTGTTAGAATGAGGGCACCAACAGGGTTTCATGGAGCTTTGCGTTTTGAATAATGCCTGTTTGTTTTTTATGTGTAGTGAATGATGCTACACTCTGGGCAGACTTTGCCTAAGTTTCATAAATATTTAATTGGCTTTTTCAGGAGAATAAAGGCAGCTCCGTTGATGACTGAAAATGACAAAGCATCCACCTAACAGACGAGGAATCAACTTTGAAGTGGGAGCCCAGTTGGAAGCCCGGGACCGTTTAAAAAACTGGTACTTTTACATTTTTCTGTTAATTAAAGCCCTTCAGTAAAGGACTTTTGCCAGCACTGATAGTGATAGCTTAGGCTTTTTTTGTGGTGTTTTCCTACTCCCTGACTCTTGTAAGATGTCATGGTGACTGTCCTGTAACCCTTTGTTCATACTTATTTCCCCTTTTTGCCTGTTCATTTGAAGGAGTTCTGGGAAAAAGAAGCCTGAATGGCTACAGGGAAGGGAAGAGGTAGGGAGGAGTTAATAGTGGCAGCTCTCTTGCTCTTGGCTGCCTGTCTGAAAAAAAGAGAGAAAGATCAGGGATGAAATAGTGAAGCAGCTCACGTGTTGTGAACACCCTATCCTGTTTTCTGGGCATGATGTTGTATGTTGAAATGCAGGGATCACATAAGGGCACACTGTCAGGGTGATTAGGTTCAGAAGCTGAAGGGTTACGGTCCCAACTGTGTCATTGACTTGTGACCTCTGGCTGATAATTAGCTGCTTTGTGCATTGGCTTATCTGTAAATGTGGGTATTGGTAATATTGACCTCATAGGGTTATTCTGAGAATCAAATCATAGACTATGCAGGGGAAGACTTTAAAGTCTATGAAGTGATCACTGTGATCGAGGGCATCATAGAATTTGGTTATTTGTTAGTGCTTAAGGTGAGGGTTGGGGTTTTCAGAACTTGTGCCTCTTTATAGTTTTTTTTTTTTTTTTTTTTTTTTTTTTTTTTTTTTTTAAGACAGAGTCTCTCTCTGTCATCCAGGGAGGAGTGCAGTGGTGTGATGTCTGCTCACTGCAACCTCTGCCTCCTGGCTTCAAGTGATTCTCGTGCCTCAGCCTTCTGGGTAGCTGGTATTGCAGATGTGTGCCACCACATCTGGCTAATTCCTTTTTGAGAGTTTAACCCTTTGTGAGATTATTTCAAAATAGACAGATTGACCAGCTCTTCGGGTATAGGAATCTAAGACAGGAGAAGAGAGGCAGGGAAGCAGTTGGTTCAGAAAACTGTCTTTGCTATTAGAATTAGGTACCCTTGGCCAGGCACGGTGGCTCACACCTGTAATCCCACCACTCCAGCACTTTGGGAGGCTGAGGCAGGTGGATCATCTCAGGTCAGGAGTTTGAGACCAGCATGACCAACATGGTGAAACCCTGTCTAATTAGCCAAGTGGGGTGGCACGCACCTATAATCCCAGCTCTACTTGGGAGGCTGCGGCAGGAGAATTGCTTGAACCTAGGAGGTGAAGGATGCAGTGAGCTGAGATTACACCATTGCACTCCAGCCTGGGGGACAAGAGTGAGACTTCCTTTAAAAAAAAAAGAAAAATAATTAGGTATACTTGTTGGCTGGGCTCAGTGGCTCATGCCTGTAATCCCAGCACTTTGGGAGGCCAGGGCAGGTGGATCACGAGGTCAGGACTTCAAGACCAGCTTAATCAACATAGTGAAACCTGTCTCTACTAAAAATATAAAAATTAGCCGGGCATGGTGGCATGTGCCTATAGTCCCAGCTACTCAGGAGGCTGAGACAGGAGGATCACTTGAACCTGGGAGGTGGAGGCTGCAGTGAGCTGAGATCATGCCACTGCACTCCAGCCTGGTTGACTGAGCTAGACCCTATCTTGAAAAAACAAAAACAATTAGTTTTTCAACACAGTTGTTTTGGGCTATTTTTTTGTTTTTGTGAGACAGAAGTCTTGCTTTTTTGTCCTGGCTGGAATGCAGCAGTGTGATCTCGGCTCACAGCAGCCTCTGCCTCCCAGGTTCAAGCCATTCTCTTGCCTCAGCCTCCCTAATAGCTGGGATTACAGGCACTTGCCACTACACCTGGCCAATTTTTTGTATTTTTAGTAGAGATTGGGTTTCACCATGTTGGCCAGGTTGGTCTGGAACTCCTGACCTCAAGTGATCTGCCTGCCTTGGCCTCCCAAAGTGCTGGTATTACAGGCATGAGCCACTGTGCCCAGCCTGTTTTTGGGCTATTTGTATTATCTATAATTAGTTCCTTTTTTGTTTTCAGTATTTTATGTTCACGTGTTTAATACTTTATGCATATGTGTATCCATTAGTAATACAATTACTTTGGGAGTTTTAAATCTTTTTTTTTTTTTAATTAA